ATAGTTTGCCCTAAGCGTAGTGGTTCTCTCTACTACAATTATAAAAAGACATTTAGTATCGTCTTAACGGCAATGTGTGATCCTGACTATTCGTTCCTGTTTGTCGATGTAGGTGCGTTGGGAAGCCAAAGCTATGGAGGAATCTTCGCACGTAGTTCCTTTGGAAACATGATACTGAGAAACAATCTTGAACTTCCTCCTGCTGATAATCTTGCCGGTAAGTTAAATATGTATTAACATATACAGGACTACGGAGAAGGTCGTCTTAGATACTTAAGGAAATTATTATTAAGGTCACTTCTGATTAATTTGGTCATATGAAATGATGATTAAAACGTAACCGTTTTCGAGATATTCGATTTTAAAGATTATTAAATAAATATTTTTGTTTGCTTGTACGACAGTTATTTTTAAATGTTAGTTCAAGGATCCGATTTTTTTCTGTTTCAGTTAAAGGGTATGCGACTTAAACAAAATCATCAATAAAATTTGAACCAGGAACAGATACAAATGCCTGCTTGATAAAATTTTCAGAAGTGTTTCTTACTTAACATCATTAAAAAAGAACTTTTGTATGGAAACTATTCTGTAAATTATTTTAAAAATTAGTATGTCCTTTAAGTAAAAAGGTGTTATACTTCAATCAAAGAAGCAACCCGAAGGCAGATTGCAGGCTCAACATGTGGAGGGTAAAATTTCATAAGAAAAGAATTAAAAAATACGTTAATAAAACAAACAACTTAACCGATTTATGCATTATAATTCCATATCGATATCGCCGCTCCTATTCCCGACCAACATTCTCATTCTTTTCTTTAAATTAATCCATTTAAATTTCGGACATTAAGTCATATAACCAAATTAATCAGAAGTAATCTAAATAATAATGTCCTTAAGTATCTAGGACGACTTTCCCGGTAACCCTGTAAACATATAAATATGTATATACAGATACACACATACATATATACATGCAAGAAAAAAGTCTGCAAAGTTTATTTGAAAAAATCTCACAGCTATTAAAATTTTCGTTATTTGACTCTAAAATCCTCTCAAAGTAACCTTTCAAACTAATAGGGCATTCGCACGAGGCGATTTTACAGGCAACAAAAGTTGAATACGAAGTTGAATGAGAAGTTGAAAGTGAAAAAGTTGCCATCCCTATTCAGACGAGGCGATTTTCGATTCAACACGAGTCGTTATTTACATTATTGAAAATGAATTTAAATCGCAAAATTTGATCAATTGGCATAAATTTGGTAAGCCAAGCGTTGGTAGAAGTGCTTTTAGCGAAGCTGAAAGATAAAATAAGAGTAAAAAAGTAAAAAAGAAAAAAAGTATGATACAGAACAGTGTTGGCATTTTTGGTACAATTGTACTTGTTTTATACAATTTCATTTACAATATACTTTCCTACTACGCACTACTTTTTAGTAAAATTTTGTAATGAATACTAAAAATATATAGCTCTGAAAATTCACAGCAAGAAATTTTTTGTGTTCTCTTTGGTTCGCCTGTTCGTATTTACCTTTGTAATTTTGAAAAATGGCTTCAACGAACCAGTATAATATAGCCTAGTCAAATTTTTAAAGAAACTTTTCGATACTAAGTTTTATTAAAACAAAATGTCGAAGTCAGCTTCATATAGAAACAAAGTCTTCGTTAGTTATAAGAAGAGATTTTCGTAAATATAATACCTTTACGGCACTCACATATTGACAAGATTTTACTATTTATTTTATTATTCTTTAATTTTAATTATCTGTTTATAAAATATAATGTATTCTTTAAGAAAAACTGTACAAACCTAAGATTAAATCTTTGCGAAACATCCAAAAACCAACATACTTTCGTAAAAATTTCGAGCTTTATTAATATTCTTAGTTTTTAGCCCATTCAATTTTAGTATAATAAAGTTCAAGTTTAAAGTAGCTGGGACTTACCGTTGAACTTGGCATTTTTTTTGTCGACGATGTCAGCCATTTTCTTCCATACGAAGTGTGTCCGACGATTTTTTTATATGGAGAAAACTAGCAACACCTTCATCAAAGAAATCTTAAAAAACTTAGTTATATTAAAATTTAATGGGCTAAAAAACCGCACGCTCAAAATAAATCTAGGAAATCGAATTAAAAAGCTCGAAATTTTTACGAAAGTGTGTTGGTTTTTTTTTAATGTTGCACAAAGTTTGAACCTGGAATTTGTACAGCTTTTCTTAAAATATAAACCGTATTTTTACAAAAAATAATTAAAATTGAATACTATTAAGATAAATGGTCAAATCTTGTCGTAAAGTTTTGATAAGCACTTGAAATGCTATTAAAATGTCAAATTTTAGTACTGAATCCAAAGGAAAATATCTTTTTATCCATTAATAATAACTTAAATATGCTTTTTGTTAAGATGTATACCTGAAAATGTGTGCACACATATTTGCGTTAAATGCAGTACATGTGCACGTGGAATCAATTTGTAAAAGTGTAAACTACGTAAACGTATGTACATAAACAATACAACTTTCTCATGAATACCATAAATTCATTGGTCTTGAAGGGAATGTACTAAGAAAATATATGAGCGAATTAAAAAGTGTATACAATTTATAGCCGAAAAGTACATTTTTTGTATAGATTTCGTACTGAAGGAACAATTTAATTTCCCAACACTGATACAGAATGTAAACAAACACAGGGTTGCAAGGAAAAAAAGTTGAACGAGCTCAAAGTTGGCTGGCGACCAACTTTGTTGAAAGCGATTAGTTGAAAGGCCGTTCGGACGAGGCGATTTTTGCTTTCAACTAAAAGTTGCCTGAAAAATC